CCCGGCAACCCAGCCCAGTGGCTGATCCCGTGTCCAGGGCAGAGCTCTGAGCTGGCCCAGTGGTGGAGGACACAGCACATTCCTGGCGACAGGTTCTCAGAACAGCCATTAGGATTTTGCTACAAGGTTGACAGGCCAGAGAGAAGCTATTTTTTAGTTAGCCTTCACACAGCTGTCAACCCAGTCCCTATACACATACAGCAGAGGCAGGTCGACATATAAGACATGCATGCTCCACACAAGCGGGAGAGAGAGGCTACGAATTGACCCCATGGATGCAAAAACAACTGCCGCCTGGGTCAGGGTAGAGAACTCCACCTACCCAGTCATTGAGAGTGAGGTGGAGTAGATGGTGATGGGAATTGGGCAGAGAAGAGAGAGGCAAAGAATTGATCCCATGGATGAAAAAAACAACTGCCGCCTGGGTCGGGGTAGAGAACTCCACCTACCCAGTCATTCAGAGTGAGGTGGAGTAGATGGTGATGGGAATTGGGCAGGGGTAAAATCCCAAGATGCCTGGGGGAGTGACGCCATGGGTTGCAGAACAAATGCCAGATGAAAGGCATGGGCTCAGGGACCCTGGGGACATAGCAGACAGTGTGTTAGAATCAGCGCCACGACTCGCCTGGGCCGTGGATGGCATCTCCCTGGAAGTGAGCGACTCAACTTGTGTCCTGGTTTAGAATCTGCGAGTGATATAATAGAGAATCAGGATTGTAACCTTTGACCGCCCCCCAAAACCAGGACCCAGTTGTAAGGGGACTTAAAAAACCACCTGTTTAGAAACAAGTAAACCAAACTCCTACTACTAATACTTTGGTGCATGATTTTGTACAAATCATGGCAACCAGTGGAATAATTTAGGGTGCATGGACACGTTAAGAGAACCTGGCTTGTATTCAGCTTTGTGGTTTTCATCTGAAATGTGTAATTGAAATTAATGTGCAATTCTAATTTTGGAGGTATTGGAGAATTGTCAGTAAACCTCGAAAAGCTTTGAACTGCTCCAGAGAACCTGATTTTCTACATTTATAATATTTCAATTGCCTTGGACTGAGCAAGACTTTGCTGCTTGGATTTGAATCTTGCCTGGGCTGGCAGTCTGATGTCCTGGAAAGATTTATTAAAACTTGGAAATATGTTTAAAATATTTAAAAGGAATTTAATGATGTTTGCAAATGGGCTTAATTGGGGGCCTTTAATGTGTTAAATGTGTGACTAATTAGGACAAGCAGAGTTATTTTTACAGAAAAAAAAAATACGTTATCAGTATAACAAAATGTGCCTGGCCTTAAAACTTTAGAAACAAATTTTTAAGCTTTTACCTTTTCTTTCTTCCTTTTCTTTTTTTAGATTTTGTCTTGATTTTTAGAGAGAGAGGAAGGGAGATGGAAAGAAATGTCGATATGAAAGTGGAACATGGATCGGCTGCCTCCTGCACTCCCCCTACCAGGAATGGAACCCACAACCCAGGCATGTGCCCTGACCAGGAATCGAACCAGCAACCTTCAGTGCACGGGCCGACACCCAACTGAGCCACACATTTTTTTTAGATTTTATCTTGATTTTTAGAGAGAGAGGAAGGGAGATGGAAAGAAATGTCGATATGAAAGTGGAACATGGATCGGCTGCCTCCTGCACACCCCCTACCAGGAATGGAACCCACAACCCAGGCATGTGCCCTGACCAGGAATCGAACCAGCAACCTTCAGTGCACGGGCCGACACCCAACTGAGCCACACAGGCCAGGGCAAATTTTTACCTCTTTAACAGATTGAAAATGTATTTAAAGTAACTATAGTCATTTGCACACATATAAACACCCTTGAACACTGAGAAACTCAACTGCATCTCTCTGACAATTGTAGAATGCAAACCCATTTCTATTCTAACGACTATTGCACATTCTTTTTAAGTGAGCACTGAGGGAGGCTGATTGCTCACACCTCTGACAATTGAGGCATGTTAATGTGCTTATACCTGGTTTTAGGCAACTTTCTGGTTGGAACCATTCCCCCTCTCCTCTACCCCTGTAACCCCGGGCCCTCGGTTGGACTAGCATGTTAGTAGCTTAACAAGGGATCTCGGGGATGGACCTCCTCCCACAGACTCTGATCTGGGACCAGGCTCTGGCCTGTGCTGTGGGGAGCTATAGCCACAGCAGATCCACTATGGGCATTGACTAGACATTTTACCTTCTATAGGTAAAACCTATACAAATACTTCCCAAAGCAAATGCTAACATCTCCCCATGTCCTTCCTCCTGAGCAGCCCCCTTGCCTGGACCCTTTCCCAGGACAGTAGGTATTCCAGAAACTTACTGAACTAATTCCTCAGCAAGAGGGCCTCACACCAAAGACTATCATGGTTGGCCCCAGTTCAGTACGTTCTGATTTAGTCTTCATCCTCCTTTCTTTAAAGTTTATTGATTTGAGAGAGAAACATCGATTTGTTGTTCCGCTTATTTATGCATTCATTGGTTGATTCTTTTTTTTTTTAAATACATTTTATTGATTTTTTACAGAGAAGAAGGGAGATAGAGAGTTAGAAACATCGATGAGAGAGAAACATCGATCAGCTGCCTCCTGCACATCTCCTACTGGGGATGTGCCCACAACCCAGGTACATGCCCTTGACCGGAATCGAACCTAGGACCTTTCAGTCCGCAGGCCGACGCTCTATCCACTGAGCCAAACCGGTTTCAGCCATTGGTTGATTCTTGTACGTGCCCTGACCGGGATCAAACCCTCAACCTTGGCGTTATCAGGGGCGACATTCTAATCAACTGAACTACCTTGGCCAAGACCAAGTCTTCATTTTCTTAAATGAGGGGACAGATCATGTTAACAGTTCTCTAAGAGATTCTTCAACGGAACCCCTTGCAACTTAAAATAGATTGACCACAGCTAACATTTACATGTACTAATATTCTAGGAGCTCAATGTGTTGACTTTCCCCTGGCGTTCTTACCCCACTGAATACCTAAGAGGATGGTGGTGGTTTCCCCATGTTGGCAATGGCAGACCCCAGCCCCAGCTCCCTGTAACTGCTACACTAAACTGTTTTAACTAGTAGACACAGCCATAACTGGAACACAGACCTATGGCTTCAGCTGCTAATTTATATTTCTGTACCCCACTGCACTATTATTATTTACATCATCGATAGCTTCGGGGAGGAGAGATAGGTGAGGAGGAAAAACAGGAGAAGCTAGAGCCAGTGCACCCAGATCCCCTGGGATCTTGTTTAAAAAGCAGGTGCTGCCCTGGCTGGTATGGCTCAGCTGGTTGGGCATCCTTCCATGCACCAAAAGGTTGCTGGTTTGCTTCCTGGTGAGGGCACATGCCAGGATTGTGTGCTCCATCCCCAGTAGGGGGCATGCAAGAGGCAGCTGGTCAATGTTCTGCTCTCTCATCGATGCTTCTCTCTCCCTCTCTAAAAATCAATGTGTGTGTGTGTGTGTGTGTGTATATATATATAT